TCTCAATGAGGGAGCAATACCCGTTTCTTTTCGATTAGACACGTTGATTTCGGGGACGAAATCCCAAATAAGGGGGGGTGAACTTGTAACACCGTCCCCAAGTATATTTACTTTTGAGTAAATTATGTATTGAACCTTATGAAATGATTAATGAATTTACGAGGTTGTAAATTTTCGTTAATTCTTTTGCGTGAATAGTAAATTGCACGTGGGGCCCACACGGGAGCGGGGACCACCCGATATTCCCGAGACCGCATATTTTATTCATCTTGGTATAGATAATAGTTATATAGTGGTGGACATTTACTTTGGGCCATAAGAAAGGCATTGGGTTGACCGATAGGTCAAACAAGGCCCAATTACCGGTTTTGGGAAATTTATCGGATAACAGTCCGAAATGAATTTCGGGGACTTCCAAATTAAAGTTGGGGAATGTATAATCATCCTAAAGGCCCATTATGATGGGGAGTAAGTGTTATATTTTATTCGACCCAATAAAATAAAATATAATTAAAACAGTCCGAGAAATACAACTTTCGGGACCGATTGTACACTTCGGGACATAATGGGATGACCTCCCACATGAGTGGGGGCCACCCCACGTTTTTGAGAGCTCTTGGTTGACAAGGGGAGCTGCATAACATGGGTTGAGAGGTGTGTGTGGGCTGAGGGTGATGGTTGGGTGAGAGTTGACCCAAGGTGGACCTCCCCCTCACTTATTTTCCATTTGAGACAAAAGGAGTCTCCCCACCCCTTCCCCCTATGTTTTGTGCGTCCAAGCCACCCCCAATCAAGGAGGAGAGCTCTGCAAACTTTCATCTCCATAGCCAAGAGAGCTCAAGGAAGCAAGGAGCTCAAGGAAGAAGGAAAAGGTTGCAAAAGTAGAGAAAAACCTTGAGAATAAGGGTGAGAAGCTCCTTAACAACTTTTCTTCCATCTTTTGATTTCATATGACTTATATATCATATGAACTACCCTTAAGGATGTTCCACATGTGTATAAGTGTGGAACAAGGGGTTGAAACTAGTTCTAAGTCCAAAAACGGACTTAGGAGCCAAAACGACCGGTTAGCCGGAAAATAACCTTTTAGAGGTTATTTGTATTAATATAGGTTTTGTGATGATAAAACCTGGTTAGGAGCTTGTCAAAGGTGATTTAAAAGCTTTCACGAAGTTTAAAGGGTCGCCGGAGTTATCGCCGGAGTTCGTCAAAGTTCACCGGAGTTTGGCCGGAGTTTAACCGAGGAGGGTAGAACTTCATCACGCTCATTTGAGGTGAGTGGACGGCTTAATGTCTTATAACTCTTGGGTTAATTATGAGATTACCTAAGTAAATGTTATATGTGTTCATAATGATGTTTAAAAGATGCTTAAACATGTGATTATCCAAAGTGATTAGATTTATATGTATGACCCATTGATATCATAAATGAAGTATGATATGAAAATGTTTATAAAAACATATATGATGTATTAAGGGATAAAAGGGGCATAAAATGCTTGGTTATAACTTAATACATGTTGGGATTAAGTTTGACGCAAATCGGGTTTGAAATGGCGAGTCAACGAAAATGTTGACTTGGTTGCCCAGGGGGCAACCGGCGCCGGTTATAGGCAAAACCGGCGCCGGTTATGGATCGGCATGGCCGGTTTTATTAAATTAATTAATAACCGGCGCCGGTTATGTCAAAACCGGCGCCGGTTTGGCACTGTTTTGCCTATATGTTGATTTTTAATGCATGAATTGCATGGATGATTATGCTTAGGCCTTAAGACTTGGTTTAGTCTTGATTATTGATTATGATATAGACCTTATCTAGGATGATATGTGGTAGATCATAAGTCGGGTGGAGTACCCAAGGATCGGGCGGTATCCTCAAAACTCGGTTATAGGGTGGAGTACCCAAGGATCGGGCGGTATCCTCAAAACTCGGTTATAGGGTGGAGTACCCAAGGATCGGGCGGTATCCTCAAAACTCGGTTATAGGGTGGAGTACCCAAGGATCGGGCGGTTATCCTCAAAACTCGGTTATATAGGGTGGAGTACCCAAGGATCGGGCGTGTATCCTCAAAACTCATAGATTACTATTTGTAATTTAGGACCGGGCGGTGTCCTCAAGTTAAGATGATTTGAACCAGGAGGAGTTCTATACACTCATAGGTGTATGGGTTGGTTGGGGTTTAAGTCAAGGATATTGACTATACTATTTCCCAAATAAACAATGACCTACGGGTCGGGTATTTCCAAGTATATATATAATGATATATATTTCATGACTTGGGGGGAAGAACTATATGTATATGTATCACCCTATGTTTGGGTCTTATACTTGAAACGTTAGTTATTCTACATTTAGCCTGCTACTCGCTCGGTACTTGTACTGACCCCTTCGGGGGGCCCCACCATTTCAGGTTGAAGCTCAAGCTTGCATTCTCACCTTGCTCGGTGAAGTAATCTAAAGGGGGACGTGGTTCGTGCTTCCTTTGCTGTTTTAAACTATAAACTATGCCCATGGATATTTTGTAATAAGTACATTTGTTTTGGGCCTGCGAGTCCACGTTTTGGCCATACGTGGCCCATGATTGAATATTGAATATTTCCGCGATTCGTTCAATCCAATTATGTGATGTTGTTATGTATGTTTACTTACTGAGTATGGTATGAACAATGTTCATGGACGCCTTGTATGATTAAGTCACGTTGACTTGCGAGTGACGTCATTTAGTCATACGGCGGTTGTACACGCGCTCGGATGCGGTCCGGGGCGTGACACCGGAGGCCAAGGGCATTGAGGCGCGCAACACATCCTGAGACCGAGCATGCCCAGGCTGAGCATGTTGAGGTAGAAATGTCCCAAGGAGACCCAACCTAGCAACTGGAGGTCGAATGTCTCTAGGAATAGGCCGAGGATTGTCGCTGTATGACGACTCTGAGGTCTGCTACCGGGTCGTGCATCAAAAGCAAAGACACATCTTGGCCGAGTTTCTAGGGATGAACGTCCAAAGGAAGTTGGGTCGGGTTTCTAGGGACTAATCATCCTAAGCATGTCGGGCCGAGCATCCTGAAGGAAAATTCCAGAGCCCCAACAACGAGAGATCGAGCGGGCTGACCGTCAAGGGGCCGAACGTCCAAGGAAGCCCAACCTAGCATCTAGAGGTCGAACGTCTCTAGGAATAGGCCGAGGATTGTCGCTGTATGACGACTCCGAGGTCTGCTACCGGTTCGTGCATCAAAAGCAAGGACACATCTAGGCCGAGTTCCTAAGGGTCGAACGTCCAAAGGAAGTCGGGTCGGGCATCCGTGAGCCGAATGCCCCAATCCCTCGCACCTAAGCGAATGCATTGAATTAAGCCTTTGCTCCGAAAGCCGAGGCCATGTGCAAAGAAGGCAGAGGAAGAGCGTAGGCAAGAGTATACTTTCTCGAGCAGATTCGCACGCTCACTACTCAAGAAACTGGGGGACTTGTGTTGAGGTATATTATCCCGGTCCGTTACTGTTCAGGAGCCCAAGGCATCGCCCCAGCTTGGAGCCCGAATGACAAGGTCCATTTCAGCCTATTAGGCATGTTTCGGCCCTTTGGGCCCATTTTGGGCTTACTTGGCCCATTAGGTTAGGTTTCCCCGGCCCCTTTCCCTTACCCCTATAAATATGGGGCTTTCCCACATGTTTAGGGATCCCCTTTTCTCTTCTTCCCCAACTCATTTCTTCTCTCTAGAATAGCTTGCAAGACTCCATTAATGGGAGCTCAAAATGTACTATGTAATGGTGAGGAGAGTTCTAATGAGAAAGAGAGGGCTTGGACATTAGCCTAAAAAGTCTCGTGGTTTTCTCCCTTTCAGGTTTCCACGTAAAAACTGAGTGTTCATACATATATTTACTATATCGTGTTGGATTAAACTCAACAGTCCTGTTTATTCTTTCTTGGGCCAAGGGCTTGTGTTTCGGCCATCTCGTGTATAAATACTTTGTAAATCATTAATGAGAAACAACAACATATTTTCTTTGGCCAATACCGAACATAAACCGCATCACCAAAGAATGTATTATTTATTATACACACATATGTACGAACATGTATAATTGTAATATACTCCAATTAAAAAAGTCATGTATACTTATAATTTGAACGGAGTGGATGGAGTCGGGGCGACACAGTATAGGTCAATACTAAGACCCATACCCGCCCCATTATGTCATTTATGTGGGCGGGCAAGTGAACCTGACCCTTTTGTAAGACGGGGCGGGACAGACCCGCCGCCCAAATGTCTCGGTGCAGGACAAGTCCTTATTGGCCATATTTTACATGCCTTAATTCAAATGAAGCACAACCAAATAGTTTTAAAACAATTGCGCAAAATGTAGTGATTATGACTAGTAGTGCAATAATGTAGAATAGTAATGACGCCAAGAAATGCAATATATTTAATTGGACGTAATATACTAGCGTTATTAAATCTAAAAATAAATAAAAAGAACTATGTACTTTGTATAATTTTTTAACGTGGATGGGAAGAGAACTAATGTTGGTGGAAAGTGCACCGATTACTACCGGATATATGCGGTAATGTCGTGCAATAACGGCAGTATAAAGTATAACGTTATTGATTGGACGAAAGTAGTGCAATAGGCACATATTTTCAATAACTATTTTTTCGTCATTCAACATTACAATATAAATGAGATTTTTTGTTTTGTTTTCAGTCATAGAATGTCTAAGAACAAAACCAATCATATTAAAACAAATTAAAGAAAGAGGGTGGGTTGGTCTTCTTCTTGTGTTTGACTCAATAATGGGTGATGATGAGCATGCAATGAGACGAAGCAGTCTGTTTCCTTTAATTTGCAAATACTCGATCCATCAGCTGCTGCGATCCCTTGGCTTGGCTTTTCTTCACTCACAAGGTAATCATCCCTATCTGATCTATGTGTACGAGAATTGCAACATATCTTGCTTCCACTTCACATCATCATCATCATCACTTCCTCCTCTCCCTTCCTACCTTATAGCTAGCTCTACTATATCTATAATTATTGTACCACTCCATCTTTGTCTCTCATGCACATATTTTCTCACCATCAATCCAATACCGACGTCTCTGATCATCTCCTTGGTCGGGCATCAAGGACTGATGATTATACTTTAATAAAATTTTACAAGCCCAAATATACATTTAATTAGCACACACACATATATACTAGTTAGCTTGTACATAATAAGTAATGATGAGGAAGCCGGATCCCCCGGGGGCGTCGACAATGGCGAAAGATAAGACGGGGAAGGGTAAGCAGAAGGCGGGGGCGGGGTCGGCGGTTAAACTGAGGAAAGGGTTATGGTCGCCGGAGGAAGATGAGAGGCTGATGATGTACATGGTGAGGAACGGCCAAGGTTGTTGGAGCGACATTGCCCGGAACGCCGGGCTCCAGAGGTGCGGGAAGAGCTGCCGCCTCCGGTGGATCAACTACCTCAGGCCCGACCTTAAACGCGGCGCTTTTTCACCTCATGAACAAGATCTCATCCTCCATTTGCATTCCCTTTTGGGAAACAGGTTTTTCTTTTTGCCATTCCTCATTTACTTCCAAAGCTTATAGTCCGTATCTACGTTTGACTAATGATAATAGATAATGCATCTCTCCCATTTTGTAAGATATACTACGTATTTCCTATTGACGTGGTAAACGTAAATCATTTTTAATCTCTTACTCCGTATTTTATACTCATATACTTCCTCCGTTCTTTTTTAGTTGCAACGGTCAACATTTCACATTTGCCAACACACATCTTTGACCACAAATATATCTTATTCTCTATTTTTAAAAAATAATTAAAAATCACTTTTTGAAAATTTGTAATGAGATGAATTGAACAATATTTTTTTAAAAGATAATTATCATAAAATAATAGTGTAAAATGTAATCAAAGTAGAGTCTGTGAATAGTGTAAAATTCAACATGTTGCGATTAAAAAGAAACGGAGGATAGTATCAAATTTGATTCTGATGTTTCCGACTTTGGAAAGCATTTAATGTAGTTTTTGAATATGTAATTTTTTTTCCCAAAAAATAATTGGAGTGCGGACAGGGATATGTTTGCTTTATCGTCGGTCAAACATCGTAAATCGTAAAATATCTTAAAATTCGGGACGGAGGGAGTATTAGCTTTTTCTCATAAATAAACTTGGGTATATTGGAGTATTTGAAAGATAGCATCGGTTTAACGATTTCAATAAGTGAAAACGCCGTGCGGTAATAAGTGAAACGTTACAAATAGGAGAATTTTAAGTTAGAGTTTTGAAATATGATGTTTTATTCTAATTGTGATGATTAAGACCTTAATTACCAAACATCTTCTAACAATCTGTCAGCTTATACAGTTACTCGAACCCATGAATCGGCTATGGACAACGCGCAAACATAATATGTTATCTGTTTACCGCTAAACTCCATATATGTTATAAATTTCTCATAAATATACTATATTAACTAAAGAACCCTAACTAAAATCAGTAACCAAAGTTTATAAAGTCTAATCGGTCAAATTTTAATCATTTTTACATGCATAATGCATATTATGTCATGTAATAAAAGTTTCACCCTTGGCCGCTGGCACCCAATGCAACAGCTTAAAAGTTACTACGTATTAATTTCTTTTTACTAAAGTTCCTTTCCATTTTTTACCCTTTGAGATTATCATTCCAATATTTAAAGGAACTTTATATGAAGCAAATGTAGCTAACGTTTCATTGAGATTCTCTAAAATAAACTTTCCATACAGATAAAAATTATATAAATAGATCTTAATAGATTATTGAGGAATCAATATGAAAACGATTATTTTATTAAAGAATGAAAATGAAAATGACAATGTGGATAACCAATTGCAATATTGTTAAATTTGTTATTATACGAAACGTTAACCTTTTTTATATATAGTATACGAAACGTTAACTACTTATAAAGTTATCTAAATTTATCTCACGCACTGTAAGTCTGTAATCAACATGTATAATATTTTTGTTTTTATTACCCGTTAACGGTAATTGCTGACTTTAGTGAACAAATTGTGGTGTTCATTTTCAAAAGTAATTACGTACCCAGTATATCTACAACTCGACTTCTATCCCGGTGGACTGCCAACTTAAAATTAAGTGAGAAATAAGAAAATTAAAAACTAGGTGGGTGAAGTTTGTGCAAAAAATAAAGAAAAATGATTAGAATCACAAATTAATTCTTTAATTGGATGTGATAAAGTTTTTGGAATAATCAAAAAATTTAACAAAAGTCTAATGGAAAAAGTAATACTAGTAACTAATACTCCATATATGACTTTAATCTCAATATACAATGACCCTTTGTACAGGTTTTTAGAGTCGGGTTATGTTTAACTTTTCGCAGTATTGAACATCACGCTATATTTGTCATGACTTTTGTAGCATTTTATTCATATTTTTTTCAAACATACCTTACGAATAAATTTATGTGGAACTTTTTGTGTGCACAAATGTATATCATCAAATTTTAGTTTGGGGTGTCATCGTCACCAATGATTTTGGGGTGCATCACACGATTCACACGAAAGAATCGTCTAAATCAATTCAAATCCGTGCATTAATTTATGGATGAAGTTACATCTTTTGAGTCGTTTTATTCAAGGTAGTCACTTGCTTTTGGCATACGATTTGATTTTACTCAATGGGTTATATTTTATCAGTAAATTTATTCTACTATACGTATTTGAGCCATCTTAAGACTAAGAGTGACATTATGTGATGGGAAATTGATGTTTCAATGTTACGGATACTTGTCAAATACTCTATGAAAACTTTCCGGATTGGAAACCTGATTTTCAAAGTTATATAATTGCAATATTGCATGCATTTCGCAAAGATTTAAAATGGCACCTAAACCTCTCATCTCCTAAGGTCCTAATGCCCAAGACAACCAAGGCTGCAAGAATGGGCGGCGTTGTCAGGATCGGAGGTTGGAGTGAGCTGGTACAAAATACAAAGTATTTTTTTTAGATAAAATTTTACACATAAATTTATAAGTTAAAATTACAAAAAAATCATATTTGGAGTGGGTCGGGCCCGATTGCCCCCCTCCCCTACCTCCTCTCTTTCCCACAAGGCCTTCACTTTCCTCGTAGTATAAAAATATCCAGTAATTGTTCTAAATAGAATTAAAAATATAAACTTCCTTAATCATAAATGAACGAGTCTGATCTTATAATAAAATAAGAGAAAAATAAGATAATGATGATGATCATATGTCTATGTTTTAATCATATTTAAGATATTTTCTCAAATATGAGGTTCAGTTTTAAATTCATTGTTTATCGTTTACTAGAAGTTTAATTATTACGTAGTATAATGTAGACATTAAACAAATGAAATTGCGATGATGACTTGCTCTGAATATAAAAAACAGTACTACGGAGACACCGAATAAAAAATACGGAATAGTTATCTTTGAAGAGATATAATTTTCTCATTGAAAGAATTGAAATACACGTACCACACGGAAATTTATATAAATGTGAATAGAATGACGTTGTTTACTAACATTTTGGAGTCATTATTTTCAAAATAATTGTAGTCCTAGACATTGACATGATAATATTCACTCTCGTTAATGACATTATTTTTTATTCCCGACAGTTACAACTTCTATTTCAAAATGAAAAACATAACTTTGATATTTTGGAATTCCAAAATTTATTCAATTTACCCCTATTTAAGGCAATTCTTTACTACTCCGTATATATTAATAATATGATTACTCTACAAAAGGCTATCAATTGTAATAGGGAATTTTGTCTTAAATAGGACTTAAACAGGATTAAAATTACAAAATAGGAGTAAGTGTATTTTTCTTCCCTAAATAGGACTTTTCTCCCAAAATTACCCTTCTTCTATTTCCTTCAATCACGCACACCAACCATCGGCTAATCATGTTCTGAGCTCAAACCTTCTCCTTCCATTCTTCTATTTTCTTCTCCGCCCCTTCTCCACCGGTGAGCTTCCAGGTGCAGCGAGCGGCGGCGAGCGGCGGCGAGCGGGGGCCAACCTTTCTTCTCCGGTCATCATCTCAGCCTGCAGTGACGAGCTTCTTGGTGCAGCGAGTAGCGGCAATGGCCGTAAAGAGAGCTTCATGAAGTAGTGAATTCAGATTTGGTGCAAAAAAGTACGTATCTTGTTTTCACAATCCTTTGTTGAGAAGAATGCCAAGTTGTTATCTGAAAATGCCATCAAAATGGCTTTTTTTCTCTTCAAAATTTCATCTTTTTCTTGGAAAATGCCATTAAAATGGCAATCCTATTTCATGTTGGAATTCTCGTAAAATTGTTGGCATCAACACCGACGGCGGCCAGACCTGATGCGGCGGAGGCCGGATTTGGAGCAGCAGCGGCTGGATGTGTAGGGGCGGTGGTCGGCGACTGTTGTCCGCCAGATCTGGGAAGATCTATGGCGGCGACGACCAGATCTGCGGTGGTGACGATTAGATCTGTGGTGCCGGAAGTCAGATGTGCAACGGCAGTCAGTTCGGCGACGGCCGGCCGGCCGGCGGTGGTAGTTGTCGGAGACTGGCAACGGTCTGCTTTATGTAGGCTACAACAGGTTGTCCCAGGCTTCAGGATATTTTTGTCTAATTACAAATAATGACTCCTATTTAGGGAACTTTTAAGCTTTGCTCCTATTTTAGCAATTAGGGATTTATTTACTCCTACTTAGATAAATCTCCCATTGTAATATACTCTACGTAGTTTTAAAATCGAATTACACAGATTTTTGTAACGTAATTGTTACGTGTGGTGAAACACCGTAAGGAATTACCTTTCGCGACTTTTGTATATGATGAGAGCTGTTTTGGAAAAAAAAGGATGACACCCCATCCCTGAGAGCCCCCCAACACCGACCGGACGGCATGTTGGGAGGATGTAAATTGGATTATAATCACAATCTGACAGATAGAGAGTGGGGCTCTGTCCCCGGTACTTGCAGAGGCCCTATGCATTTTTCAGCATAGTAACCCCTCATCGCAGTTGCCGGGATTCGAACCCGAGACTTAACCCTTGTGGCACTTCCTCGCTACCAGTTGAGCTACGCCCACCGGTGATGAGAGCTGTTTTGGGATGTATGATGAAGGTGTTTGGACGTTTGGTTGTCAAACCGCTTGTCAATTTTTTTTAACTTTCTTAAGTTGACTTTTAACTAGTTCACGTCACATGAATGGCGGTGAATTTATTTCACTATGTATTAGTGTATTACTCGTATTTGGTAGGAGGATTTTGACTTTACATGTTTAACGTTACATGTTTAGTACTTATAACATTATTTGACTTTACATCATATTCCTACATAACTTGCATTGATAATACACACATTAATAATTTAAAAATATGATACTAAGCAGGGGCGGACCCAGGAAATTGATATTGGGGGGCGATAGTTTAAACAAAAAAAATCTAGGCGATTATTATTATAAGTTATAACCTTAATATAATACGGAGTAGTAATTAAATGAAGCATTATAATAGAAGAAGAGACAAATATATTATTACAAAATAGTTAAAGTTAGTACCTTAGAATTGTACCCAGTGCTTCTTCAACGAGATAAATTCCTCAATCACGGCTTTTTAGTCAAAAGTTTTAGCAATTTCTCTTTCAATATAAACAATAAGGTTGTCTGCAACATACTCATCCTCCATTTTATTGCGAAGCCTTGTTTTTATAATTTTCATTGCGGAAAAAGTCCTTTCAGTTGTTGCTGTCGAAACCGGTAGAGTCAACAAAAGTCGGATCAATTTATCAACAAGCTAGAAAGTACACTTTTGACATCTCCGTCTCCGCTAATCTTTGACAAAGTTCACCCATTGTAGAAAAATTCGCCAACTTTGGATGGTTTAGAACATTGAGCTTATAATGTTGCAATTGAAACCTCAAGCTCACCTTCTCCTGCTCAATAAAATCAAAGGGGTAATATTTATCCACTAAAGAACATATATCATCAATGTTAAAAGACTTATATGAGTCCTTAGGATCCAAAGCACCACTAAGAGTAAGAAGATCCATTATCTGTTCACCGAATTTGCTATTCATCTCCAACAATTATGAATCTATGGCTGCGTAAAACATATCAACCCGATAGTGACGTTCAATATCAAACCCTTCTTGATCATGGCGTTTGCGTTTTACCGCATGAGGAGACTTCATATTAGGAACTTCAATTTCATGCTTTGTGCAAAACTCTTTAACAATTTCTAAGAAGTTATCCCATCCACCCTCCCTTAACTTTTGGATCAACATTTTGGTGCTTGACACAAAATGCATAGCATTTACTATGTCTTGGCACTTCTTCTGTATATGCTGACATAGAAGATCTGTAATGCCCATAATTTCTTTAATAAGATGCAACAAGAAAACAAAATCAAAAGATTTAATCTTCTTAAGTTCTTTAGAAGCAGCAACCAATGCTAATTGCAACTGATGTGCTAAGCAATGAACATAGTAGGCATAAGGACAATCATTTAAAAATAATCGATCTTTCCGTTTCTTTCTTCTAGGTGCGCATGTTTTTCATTAGTTTGGTCTGGGCGGTGGGCTGGGATTAGATTTTGGGGTGGGTTAATGGGGAATAAATTTTGGAGTGAGTTGATATAATATTACTTGTAAAATTTCTATTTTTTAGGCTCTTAAACAATTGGGTTTCTGCGAGTGGGCTATGCTTTGGGGGAGAAAATATTTTTTGGGGGGGGTTCAAAATTTTTCTTGGAGGGGCGAGAATTAAATGTTGGGGGGTAAAAATAAAAATTTTGTATATATATATACTAAAAAAATTGTTGGGGGGGCGGCAGCCCCCTTAGGTCTGTACTACGGTCCGCCCCTGATACTTAGTCGATCAAATTCATACACGAAACAAGAAAATATTTCAAAACACGCTTCTTCTCATTTTTCTTTAAGAACACTATTATACGTAGTATGTAACAACGTCTTAGTGAGTTCAGAAAATATTACTCCGTACCTTTTTAAGAATGTAGTTGGTCTTTTGAATATTAAGTAGAATAAAATTTGTGAGAAAAAATATTACTAAAGTTAATTTGCTTAGAGTATACGGAGTATTACATTAAGGTAATAAGTGACTAAAATATTACTCAATTTGAGTAATAATATTACCTAAATCGCCTTAAGAGTACACGCTTTAGTGATCATAATTGGACTATAGACCATTATTATTTTCAAATTCACACTAAAGTAATTATCCATAGTAATTTAGTACCATTGTGTCCATAAATTTATGACATCAGAGTTGAGACAAGCCAATTGTTAGCTTTGGTCAATAAACAAACCTATGGCTTCTTCCGCGATGAAAAAGGGAAATTCCATTTTGTAGAAGGCAAATTCTATGGACCTTCTCGGTGTGAACATCACCCCGCCTCTATCACCCCTAGGGCTAGACAAAAATAACGAAAAATCGGTATACCGCACTTACCGTACCGAAAATACCGGAATATCGGTATGCCGTTATTTTTGGTACGGTATCATACCGTACCGATTTATTTCGGTACGGTAACGGTAAATGTTTTCAAATATCGCGGTATACCGGTATAATACCGTACCGACTCTCTACCCAAAAATTACTTTAAATTCTAAAATACTGTAAAAGTCCATTACAATGTTGAAGCTTAAACTTAATTCTAAGGTTGGTTACAAATATCAAATACAAAAATAAAGGCTCAATTTCCCAAACCCATTATAACCTTCTAGGCTTCTATTATGTAACATTCAAATAAACTACCCTGATGACTAATGAGTAATGTACTAATGTCTTGAAACAAGTTTATCTTTTCCCAAGAGCTTGCGAGTCACGATGGGTTAGCCGCTGACAAGTGTATCTACATAGGGATTCCGCGAGTCAAAACATACAAATTTGTCCGAAACTCTTATTTAAATATTCTTAAAATTATAAAATGACAAAATACACAATCATATTAGGAATATATGATTTTATATCCATATTGTTTGAAAAAATGTATTTTTTTTGTTAGAGATCACTATTGATTTAATTATATCTATATTATTCAAGTTATTTTAGGAGAATGTATTACTTTTTTATACGTGGCATGTTGAACTACTTAAATATACTAAAAATAATTATTGTACAATATTGAATATGGTCAATAGATTATTAATTGTATTTTGAAACATTTTAATAATGGATTAAATATGTCGCTAGTAACACCGATTTAGTGTATTTCATTAGTCTATGGTAATTTACCGATACCGTACCGTTACCGTACCAAAACTTCGGTATACCGCATTATGCGGTATACCGAAACTTCGGTAAGGTAACGGTATACTAGTATAAATTTTGTATACCGAAAGTTTTGGTACGGCAAAGGTATAAGAGAAAATATTCGGTATAACGTACCGAACCACCCTTAATCACCCCTCAAGTAATCCTCATTTGTAGATAGTCCATTTGGTAACTAACATTTTAGGAGATTAATGGATTTAATTTCCTAAAATTGGTGCGTTGTTAGTAGAATATTTTTACTTGATTGAATTTTAGTCTAATCTGGTCTAGTCTGGTCTAGTCTGATTTGATCTAGTGCGATATAATCTGATTTGAATTGATAGATGTCTTGTCTTTGTGCATTTTAAAACTGCACAAGTCTGGTCCGATCTGAACTGATAGATGTCTCGTCTCTATGTATTTTAAAATTGCAGAAGTCTAGTTTGATTTAGTCTGGATATTTAAATAAAACCCTTTTGTTTTTCCTTATATTGTACGTAGTACATTATTATTAAAACAAGTAGTAGTAGGTAGCATGTGCATGTTTCAGTTTATAACAACAAGAATAATAGCTATAACAAAAAAAACAAAAAAAGCTATAACAATAACAATTTCATATTAATTCTCTTTCATCTGCTCAAATCTCCATCGTATAATTTTCACCGTCATTCAATTTTTTACTTTATTAGTCCTTTGTCCCATACTTAGTTACAAAAAAAATATTATGCCAGAGTGATCCACATAGTTGATTTTGTAAGGTGTTAGCTAGAGACACCAAGCCCATTCCGTCAATCCAACTTGACAAGGAGACCGCCCCCGTCCGATTTTTTTTGGGTCTTTAGTAATATGAGCCGCGCGTTATTTCTGTATGGGGTTAGGTTTATTATTCTCTTTAAATACTCGCTCTCTCATTGTAATCATCATCAGAAAATAATAGTAACATCCTGGCTTGATAGCGCCCCAGACGTAATCAATCGTGGTGAACTGGGTTATCATATTTCGTGTGTTTTTCTTATTCTTCTCCGTGTTGCCTGAGTTTAATTAGTAACAGATTTGCGTTGCAGGTGGTCTCAAATTGCGGCGCGGCTCCCCGGCCGGACAGACAACGAAATCAAGAATTTCTGGAACTCCACCATCAAGAAGAAGTTGAAAAATACCAACTCAACCCATTCCCCCAACGCGAGCGATTCGTCCTCGGATAACAACCCAATGGCTATCCTCGGAGGAGGAGGACCGGCCTCCGCCGCCGCCGCCTCAATTCCTCCCATGCAACACAACCAACCGGATTCTTCATCTTCTTTAATGCTACCAAACGCCCACCTCCACCACCAACACTTTGACCCTTTTCCTCAGCATCATCAACCGCACAACTACGACGAGGGCGTACCTTTGCTCGGCTTTCCGCCGTGTACAACGGCCGGAGTTGGTGGCTGCGGTGATCAAAGTGTCTTTCTTGGTGACTATAATTTTTTCGTGGAGCCCTTTGCTGTGATGGGATTGGAAAATGACCTTTCTGTCCCTGCATTGGAGAGCTGTTGTACTAGCTATACTCATAACGAAAAAGAGAATGTTGAGTATAATGCTACCAATAATAATAGGGTTATTGAAAGCTATGGAGTTGGAGATGGGGATGGTATTGTTAATGTTGACAATTGTGACATCTTTGACGAAAAAGGGAATAATATTGTTTGCAACAACATTAGCAATAACCAACATTTGGTCAATGTTGACATGACAGATCTTAAGGTTGAGGATTACATGGTCAATAGTTATGGAAATCATCATTGGAGTGGAGAAAGCTTAAGGATGGGAGACTTTTTGGATTGGGAAGGTTTGTTGGCTAACCTCCCTTCCTTACCTTACTTTTGATTCATTACTTCCATGAATTGAATCAAAGAGTACGCTATCGTTTTCAAGTATATAGGGTTTTGGTTCTCTCTTTACCTCTATTCTTTGAAAGGTCTTATACCCTAAACCCCCAAGTGATATAGAAATTCAATGTATCAGTCATCCATGATTTAAAAAGTGCGTCAAACCCATTGTGTTATAATTACTCATGCACAAAACTTTTTCATGAACAAATTTTACATGGAAATCACTTTTCTCAATATTGTGATTGAATATGCAAATAAATTTGTCAAAACCTCTGAATTATACAAAAAAATGATAATCAATATTCTTTTATTTGATCATTAAATTTGTTCATAGAAGGGGTTTTGCGCATGCATAATTACAACACAAGGGTTTGACGCATGTTTTTAAATTACATGGACTAATGTGCTGTATTCCTACATCACAAAGGAGTTTGATGTATCAAACCCATTCTTTGAGTTTGTTCTCTCTAGGTACACATATTCATAACAGATACAGTAGAATAAATCTCGAATGAGAGGTGTGTGTATTGTATACCAGGGCATGGCGGTGTATATAATTTTCAATCATTTTGGTGATGAATAATTATGATCTGAGTTGATCGAAGGCGGCAAATAAGTTGGTCTTGAAGAGCAATTGAATTGAAGGCGTGAATAGAAAGATAGAATAATTGGTGTTATTCATATGCATTTATGCTAATGAATTTCGTACTATATGATGTACTTACTTACTGTACATATCTCCGATCCATAGCATATAACAGATAGACTTTGGAGGTGGAATTTGAATATAGTCGGATAAAATCAACGTTCATATATAGGAGATTTATTTCTTCTTTTAAGGAGACGAAGGTTTCAATTCACCTTGTGATACTTGTACAGTGGGGAGGGTTCTAAAGAGAACCCCTCTTAAAATGAGAACTCGTGAGAACCCCGACAACCGTTGGTATTTTTGGCTGAAATTTTTTGTGTATTTTCCTCATCAAGTCTAGTTCATCTATACCAAATTTGAGCAAAAAATTCAATCGGGAAGGTCGTCAAATGATTTTTGAAAGAAACTGGTCCGGAATATACATATAAAATGCAGTTTTCTTTCAAAAATCATTTGACGACCTTCCCGATTGATATTTTTGCTCAAATTTGGTGTAGATGAACTAGACTTGATGAGGAACATACACAAAAAATTTCAGCCAAAAATACCACCGGTTGTCGGGGTTCTCACGAGTTCTCATTTTAAGAGGGGTTCTCATTAGAACCCTCCCCCTTGTACAGTTGTACTATACCAGTTCCAGACTTCCAGCCAAGGAATAAAATCCTATTTGAATTACGTTTGTGCGTATTTACATTATTTATAGACACTACAGAAAACACGGGATTGGTGCAAATTATTGACAGAGATTTTGACAGGGAAATGTCAAATCTATGTCAAAAACAGTTTGATACGAGCTATTTCGCACGCAATCATCGATAAATTCGACCCTAATTCGTGTCAATCCCGTATTTTTTTGTAGTGAGAGAGATTAATTTTGTAGTGACAGATATTTTTTTTGTCAAAATAAGAAAGAAAGAGAGATATTGGAAAAGGAGCAATGATGAAGAAATATTATGGTAATTAATTTTGTATAGATGCTTGGTGTATATGTGTGTGTGTGTGTGCGCGCGCCGATGATTAGTATTTCTACGTATAATACTTCCTCCGTTCTTTAATATATAGTTGCCACATTGAATTTTCATACACCTTATTTTGATAATGATTTTCTACTAATATATATAATCAAATTATTTTGTATAAAATGTTTTTAAATTCCTATTAATGTGAATTTCTAAAATATTAACTTTTTATCATGTTTGGTAATACGTAATTAAATGTAAGTACGGTCAAAGTTGTGTGTTGGCAAACGTGAAGATCAAACTGTTGCAACTATTAAAGACCGAAGGATGGTATCATTTTGTCCGAATGTACTATTTCTGGCACCTTTTCACGAGAAATTGTACATTTTAGAGCAATGGAGGAATTGCATATATGCATGACAAATAACCACAAACATAAGATACGAGATGGAATCAGATCATTTAATCTTATTATTGAGCATTTAATAAGATACTCGAACCATTCCTCTGACTTGGGGCCTCACACCATCAACCAGCAACTTCGGCGGGCTTAAGGAACAAAGCCCGCCTCCTCCCCGTTTTTTGTCCCATCTGTAATCAATAAATGATCATTTAATCAGCAACTTCGGTGGGCTTAAGGAACAAAGCCCGCCTCCTCCCCATTTTTTGTCCTCTTAGTTAATCATTTTTAAAAAAATCAATAATGCTTATAATTATAATAATAATAGTATTAGGTGTACAAAAAATATAAATAACATTTGTAAGAATACTAACTAGTACATTCTCATTAGTAATTACTATACTAGTTAAAATATTTTTCATTTTAGTAATAGGTATCATATTTATTAATAACTAAATTATTTTAGAATAATAGATGTAGGATTTTACAATTAAATTTATAACTATTTAGCTATTAACTATATTATATTTGTACTTAGTTTTAACAATGAGAGATATATGTTGTAATTTTTTTTGGGAACTCTTGTATTAATTTATATTAAAATGCTACTTTTAATAAGTAAAAAATAAAAAAATATTAAAAAAAGGAACCGAAAACCGATCTGGAATCGACCGGATTGGAACCAGAACCGCCAGTTTTAGAATTGGTACTGTGCGGTTCCGGTTCCCTAAAATTTGGAACTGTGAACCGGCGGTTCGGTTCCAAATCGGGGACAGATATATTTGCAAGCATGATTTAACTTTATTGTCGATCTATTTTAAAATTCGCAAATTACAATTCACTTGATGATGGAGGAAGTATATTATACATGTAATTCTTTGGGTTGTAAGGGCTTGCCCATTCTCAAAGGCCCATACTTGTTCACATTACCCTTTTGCTTTTATTTTTTCTTCTCAAGGGGGTCAGGGGTGGATGACTGGGGGACCCGGGGTACACAGAGCTTAAACTGCCTCCATAGAGTATTGAACTCCAAACCTCCCACAAGTGAGAGTAAGTCGGTGACCAGATGAGCTGGACCGCTTCGTCTACGTACATTAGCCTTTTGCACTTACTTTTATATATAGGGGATGGTTCCAGTGAAAATGGTCTCTTAGGAGTGAAATGAGAATTAATCTGAACCGTTAGATTGTATTACATGAAATTGAATTGTGCATTTAGTGAAACTAACATGTGCATTAGATGAAATTGAAAAGTGCAGAATAAAAGGTAAAACTCAAATGTGTATCAGGAAATTGAAATGTGCATAATAAAGGATACAGAAATGACACCACATCTTACCTTTTATTTTGCACATTTCAATTTCACAGAACTCACATTTCAGTTTCACCTAATGCACAATTCAACTTCACATAATGTCATTGTATCATATCATTTGCACATTTTAATGTCACCTAATTCACATTATTTCAAGTTTAACCTAATGCCGCACATGAAATTTCACATAATGCAATCTAACGGTTCAGATTCATTCTCATTTTTCTCCTAAGATCATTTTCTCATTTGAACATAATTCTCTGTGTGTGTCAGTCGTCTTTTTGGATGAAGAAAAGAGATTTGCTCACCACATTTTTTAGATTGAATTGTTTTACGGAGTGTCTAGGATAAGAAGCGTTTTGTTTTGCTTCTATTTTGAGAAATGATTTCTAGCTTCTAGAGATTTTAAAGAAAGAAACAATCTTACATAGACGTACTGGTTTTTGTGAATATTATAAGGGTCCTAACTTCCTTTACCAATTACTTTTATCATTTGAACTGGGGCGTATTCTAAATATACTTGGTATATAAACGAATTTAGAGCATCATCAATGGGGCACTTTCTAGTCTAAAAAAACATGTCAAATGTCAAATAATCAAAAGGCTATCTAATAGAGGTACTACCAAGTGGGATGACCAAGCATTGGACTATGGAAGAGGCCTCCAACGCATTTAGTCTTACGGCCTATGAAAAAATTGGCATGTGGAATCAAATCAAATTATTAAAATTAAAACAAACATCAATGTGTGATTGCTTTGCTCTGTATGCGAAACCAGGTAATATTTCCATATCTCCTCTTCCTACACTTCTCAAATCATCATTTGCGATAAAATATTGCAGTATTGATCTGTAAAAAATATTTTGCAGAAATATTTCCACATCTCCTTTTTATTTAAATCGTACAAATAAAAAGTTGAATAAAATATTTTGTAGTATTGATCTGTAAAAAATAAAGCAATTGGATCACGTTCTTGTTCTTGTATATATACAGCAATTGCGGTGGCCTTTTTTCTCACCGTTTTGCTCAGCAATTGCTCCATGGCAGAGCAATGTTTCCATCTTCCTTTTTCGAAGATGACTCAGCAAGTGCAAAAGGCTTTCTACACCTGCACATCTAATCTTGACACCATTCTATTTTTTTTTTTGCCATGTTAGCAAATTTTACTTACACACTAGACACATTGGAAGCGAAAATAAGCAGTCCAAGTCTATATTAATGATGTGGCGTATTTTTTCTTAGACTAAACGGTCCACATTGCAGATGCTCTTAACTGGTCCAGTGACGAAGACGGGGAGGCTGACACTCAAACAGGGGCTTCGGGGCTCCACAAAAAGATTTTTGATGTATATATATATTTATAAGTAATAAAAACATAGTTAAATTTTAAACTTTGATCACGCCAATAAATTCCAAAAGTTCCGGCCCACCTAACTTATCTTGCCATTAAACCGGCTAACTAGGTAGTAGGCCGGATTTCCCCCAACTCCCAGCTCAACTAATGATCACACATGAATTAATGTAGGCAAAAGAACATTTAGTGCCCGTTTGGTGACACTGAAATCGATTGATTCTGATGAAATTTATGAAATTCTAGCTGAAGTGGCTGTATTGGCTGATTCTATTGATTTATGAAAAAATTATATTTTTTTAATCATCAAACAGACCTCTATTCATATCAAAAGATTTAGGATCATTACATTAAGCAAAGGGAAAATAAAACTAAAGCCAACTGAAACTCCAACAACTACGACTGTAACCCTATGATGAGACTTTGAGACGGTCACCCCTGAAATAAGAGCAACACGAATCGCTAACCATGTAGTGGCTTGACACACCCAAGCCTGTTCCCATAGATCCAACCATACCCAATGATATCAAGAGAGGCTAAAAACTCAAACAAATTGTCAAAACCAACAACAAAGATGAACACAAGAAAACAAATGACAAACAAATAAAAATTACTAGGAAAACTTTCACGGACTCTAGCACCTCGTACAACCCATGGTGGTGGTTGAGGCGGAGGTCGGACCGTCTCTCGATTGATACCCTCTTTCAGTGGCGTATCCGCCGTATGACCCAAATCCATGCCATCGAATGGGGCGTTCAGCCTCTCCACGCTAACCATGTCCCGATCATCCTTACGTCTCTCTCTCTTCTTCCACCATCTTCTCGCTGCCACAATTATCCATCTCGAGCTACGTCCAAACCACGGCAATCTGGCGCAGTGCTGCGTCGATTGAAAGAAACGCCGCACCAGGGCGGCGAAGTAAAAACCCTTCGCGAGAGATCTCGCTAGGGAAACACTGACCGAACTTCGATAAAGAAAGATCGAAATCGGAAATTACCTAGCGGCGGCTCTGCCCTAGGAGCTCTCTACCACCTACGTATTTGTTTTATGAAAAAATTATATTTAAAATATATTTTATTAATTAAAAGAAAGAATAATTATATGAAAATAGCTAAAACGATCGTCTACAGTAACTTCAGCCAATAGAGACAGAAAAGTAACTCCAACCTTACTGGTGGATTATATTCCCATATACCTTAGGGGGTATCAGCATTCACGTATAAGAAAGTCTCTGGAACGCCAAGTCAATATTCCGCCGAGACCGACCTTGACCTATCTGAGGTCGGCCCAACATTAGGCCCCCAGATTATCAAGATAGGACCTAATCCGATCTCGACCCCCGACAAGGTCGGCAC